TTCCTCATCCTTCGGCACACACAAACGACCTTGTCACAACAACCCGCAATTTGACGAAACTAAGAATCCTTCGACTCTCTTTGCCACCTGCTAGGGGTGTACAATGAATCCGAAAACTCAACAACTCAAGTTGATCCAACCAAAATTATAGGGATTGGATTAGGTTAGATTCGCATTTCGAGTTGGATTGGTTTAATTTTTTTGAATTCGAATATATTCCGGTAGGGTTTCAAATTTATTAGACAAATTTTGGGTTACCGAATCAAATAAAATCATATCAAACATATTAAGGTAACTTTTGTACCCATATTTCTGCCCGAGTGGTAATTTGTTGTTTGTAGGAAGTCAGCTTGCAAGCTGACTATTTCATTAATTTATTTAGTTTCTTTTATATATTTTATCATTTTTTTAGTTTCTTTTCATTTTTTTTATTTTTGTTTATTTTATACTATTTCATTATTTTTTTATTTTTGTTTATTTTATACTATTTCATTATTTTGTTTAGTTCAGGTTTGAAAAAACAAATACATTTTTTATTTTATAAACTTCTCTTTTGACAATTTTTTATTTTACAGATTCTTAATAAATTTTTTTTGGAAGCTGAGAATTTATTCTGTTTATGTTGATTGAAAGAAAAACTTAAAACATTTTAGAATTTCTTTTTACTCTCCGTCTGTCATTTTACTCATAAATTTGGTGGAAAATAAATGGCTTTAAACATCGAGTTTTATCAAAAGTTGACCAAAATGATTGACTTGTACTATAACTTCTAAATTAGCATTTAGTACGTGTAGTATGATTGTTGATTATTCTAGGAGTTATGTGACAGCTCAAACAGTAAACACAAAATTGGATAGGTAGAAAATTAATTTCATTAGATTTTTTTTTTAATTATTTGAAGATTTTGTTCTAGACAAATAATTCTAAATTTTAATCGGTTCTTTTATCTTTCTGTGGCAATTTATATTTTTATGACAATTTAGGCCCTTAAGTTTCACAATGTCACGCTAAGTTTTTCAGTAAAATATTTTTATAGTATTGTTTATTTTTGTTACTAGCAGTTTCTTTAAACTAATTATTTTTATTATATTTTAATTTCAAGATCTATCTAGTATTTTACTGTTTTGAGCAATCGATTGCTCAGAAATATTATATTTAGTTGTATGGAACTATATTAGACGTTACAATTTTAGCTCTCGATGAAAAATTTATTTATTTTTGAATAATTATATATTAATTTGTATATGTTTGTGAACTTTTAATATCTTTTATCTAAAATTGTATTGAAGTGTGGATAAATAAATCTTTTTATTTTTTATTTTTTACAAACCAAACCTATCCCAAAAACAGAGAATAGGGTTGTGATATCATGTGTCACCCCATGTAATTTATTTAATAGGAAGAATCTATACCTATGATATATTAGAAAGCCATATATGAAATGATGAAAGTCATGACTGTCTCCTATGAATGTTACGAAGAAGAAGAATAAAAAAAAAAAAAAAAAAGTTCTGTCTGGCAAACATAAGCTTATGTCATGACTTAAAACGATGAGACTTCATGCATCTTTGTATATCACATGCATTTTTGTATGTCACATGCAATAGAATAATTTTCAGTTATGACTAGTATGAATGTATACATTTCGATATTATTCACTCCATGATATTATGGGGGCTTTTTTCCCTCTGTGGCTTCCAATGTGCTTCTGTAGGGCAAGTCCAGAGGTACGTTTACTACACATCCAATTTTTGTCCGAATAGGTGATGAAATGTTCCTATGAAATGATAGGTTCTACATGATTGCTTGTGTATGCATTTTTCGACCCCAATAGTGGAGTTACTTACTGAGTATTTATTAAAATACTCAGGCACGTGCTACTCTTATTTTCAGGTAAAGGTAAGACACCTTTGTACGAATGACGACGACGCTGTGACGACCATGGAACTGAAATTAAGGTAGTTGGATTTATATTTAAATTGTAGCCTTTAGGGTAGATGAGGGCATTTCCAATCCTTTGAATTTATTGTTATCTTGTTCTCTCTATTTCAATGATGTATACTTTTATTTGAAATGATTTTACAAACATTTAAATCTATGACATCGTTCATAAAGGACATGTGCAAAATTAAGATCATCATTTTAGATTTTAAAATTTTTGAGATCCTGGGCCACCTTTGAAAATCAAGTATTAGAGATAGTTGTATTATTATAACCTATAATTCATAATCACACACGAGGAATATTTTATACAAAATTATGCCAATGGCTATTTCTTATATCTCTCCCTTAAATGGAAGCAATAAAATCATTCAATAAAAGGAAATTTGATAATTAAAAAAAAAAAGAGAGAGGATAATTGCAAACGTGCTTTTGAAAAATGACTTTTTTGTATGGATAGGAATGAGAAGGAATATTGGATTGGTTGGAAGAGGAGCACGTTCAGAGTGGCACAAAGGAATAAGAATGGAAACAAGAAAATTTAATGTAAAATCCAACCAATAGGAGAAATCACTTTTTCTTCTTTCTCAACCTTTTTATGGAATCATATTCTAATGTCATAATAATGGATCAACACCCAAAGTAATTCTTTCTTACAATTTTTCTGATCAACACCCAAAATAATGAATCTCAAATTAAAAATAAGATTTTATTTTCTAATATTTAAAAAATTGCCACATGGCTCAATCATTTCCTCTTAACAATCAAAGTAAACACGTTTAATAGAAAACGATGAAGTTTTTGAGATCTTGGCTTAGTAGCCTAGAGCGGTCTACCTCAATTCTATTTAATTGTTCTATCAATAATTTTAAGAACTTAAATTGAATTCATGGCTCAATCTCTTTATTGAAATCAACCTCTCGTTTTGATACTAATACTAGAAAAACTCAAATAACTAATTCAACCTTAATTCCCAACTTTTTCACTTAAATCACTTACTTTCTTCTTTTAATGTCTTTTTCTTGAGAGATAACTCCCATTTGGTGCATGATTTTTGTATCGAGGACTTTATCGAGGACTTTGGTCTAGGGTTTTAAGATCTTAATTTCTTGGTTCCTGTTCCTTGGACACTCCTTTGGGAGACCTGTGGGGTCTTATTGTCAATGAACAACTTAATCCTGATTTATACCCAACACTTCATGCGTTTCTGCAGCATTGTTTGATACATGCATATAGAGCATCATATATTCCTTGTGATACAATATGCATACCTATGTCAAGGGCTTCATGCATTTAGTGGGATATAATCTGGATATCTATGTCTAAGGCTTCATGCGTTCCCTAAGACGTAGTTTGTGTCATAGGACACACTACACATCAGGAGGTCTTTAGGGTATCACAAGTTCTAGCTCTAAGAATTCTTTGTTAAGTCTTGAGTCACAACCAAGGTAAAATTCTTAGCATATACACCCTAATCCTATGAGTCATAAACATTTCTTCACACATGCATAAATCTTTCACAAGCATCTCGTCACTTAAAATTCATAAAAGTCTGGATTTCTTATAAAGAGTTTCGAGGGATAGTTTCATCATTTTCCTCTTGGTTCATGCCCCATACACGCTCTAATCCCCTTGAGATCTTGTATGATTTCACTTAAGGCCATAAATTAGCCTCATATAATGTTTCATAGCATTTGAACCCAAATCTTGGTTTAAATTGGTAACAAATTCTAAAGTTCTGGAAACTTACCTAATCACTTTAAACCATAAAATAAGACTCCTTATAAAATTTCATGTCATTTAGAGGTCACTTGGATCATAAAGAAATGGTACATAACTACAGAAAAATTTTGATCATTGTACACTATCTTTTGTTTAGCCCTTTAACATAATTCAATAACCACCAAATTTCATGCATAACCTTATCTTGTTCTATTAAAGCCTCTATTAGAATTTTATGAGTAGCGAAGTCCATTAAATGGGTTATTTTAAAGTTGGTCTTTAACTCATTTAATGGGTTATTTTAAAGTTAGGTCTTTAACTTTTGGTTATGGATTTACCTCTTCCATAATCCTTAATTCTTACTTAGCTTAGGGTTCATATAGATTTTCAAGCGATTCATATTAGTAAAACTTGAAGAAGCTTAGATTGTCTTGGAAACAAATTATATACTTACGTCATCCTGAAACTACCACTTCGTTCAATCTCAATTTATGGTTTCATACTTTTAACTCATATTTTGGGCTATCTCATATTACTATTCACCTCCATACAATCTTGAAAAACTTGAATCATCATTTGGCACCTTTAAATTACCTCACGATTTTCACACCTACAACTGTCTTGAACATGACTTTAAATTTTACAATTAGTGTTGAGATTGGGAGATTTCTACATTTCATTACTTCCAAAACACACTTCCATTAAAGGCACCCATCACGATTACAAATTAGCTCAATTACAGTGTTCAAAGATGGCAAGATTGATCTAGTAACAATGGAGTTCTGATTAGAAGCTTTTGAGACAGTCTTCCGTGGTATGAATTACCTAGAGGAGTACCAGAGGAATTGCGCTACATATATGTTGATGAGAGAAGTGCACTTCTAGTGGAAAACCATCCACAAGACACTCTGTCGTAATGAGGATCTGGTATCAAGGTAGCAATTCAAGGAAGCGTTCCTTCTAAAATACTTCCTGTTATTGCTGAAGTTGGAAACAATGAGATAGATTTGTTGAAGACTATGATCTCGAGTTCAACAAACTGGCTAGATTTGCTCCTGAGTTTCTAAGCATAGGAAACATAATAATCAATCATTTCATCGTTGGCTTAGGGATGAAATTCAGGATCAGTTGTGGCCCACAACCTTAAAGAATACACAATCCGATCTCTGTTCTAATGGACATATACCATCTGAATTAATAAGCTTGACTTAGCAAAATATGTTATTAATCTAGAGGAATTTTTAATTAGGAAATTAGTAGAAAATTTAGGAAATTGGTTGTTTTCTAAATTATTTTCAAAACAACAAAGATAATTGAAAAGGTGATTAAGGTTTCTTTGTTTCAAAAGATCTCTTCCCTCAACTTATCTTTTTTTATTCTTTTATTTGTTTAACATATTTGGATCGTGGGTCAAATCCAATATTTGGTATAAGAGCTAGGATGCCGAAATAAAATATCAACACCACTCAAGGTTGCCAAAGGAGATGTGACAACAATAAAGAGCGGGAGGGAGCTGGAGTGTAACGCTCCAGTATCTGTTACTAACGAAGAGTAACTACGCAACATAGTCGATAAAGATGCGTGTTAACTTACAGGCACAAGGTGTGTGGGACGCCATCGAGCACGGTGACATTGAGGAGCGTAAGGACAGGATGACTCTTGCCGCCATCTACCAAGCAGTCTTAGAGGACGTTCTTCTCATCTTGGTAGAGAAGGACTCGACAAAGGTTGCGTGGGAGACGTTGCAAACAATGCATGTGGGTGTAGAGCGTGTCAAGGAAGTAAAGATACAAACCTTGAAGAGTGAGTTCGAGGCTATCCGCATAAAGGACGGTGAGTCAACAGACGACTTTGCCATGAAGTTGATGACAATCATCAGCGACATTCATTCATTAGGGACGTGGTGGAGGAGCGTGCCAGAGGAGATGACTACGAGCAAGCGTGACAACCATAACAAAGAAAAAATAGTCTTGAACATGACCGAAGACAAGGTGGCAGAGGAGGTCATGACAATATCTCACAAATCCATGAAAATTTCAATCCTCGGAAGGACAAGAGTATGATCAAGTGTTACTCTTTTGGAAAATATGGGCATTATGCGGCAGAGTACCGCAATAAAGAGTGCAATGAGGAGGCAAACCTCATGTTCATGGATAATGAAGAGCCCACATTGATGATGGCCGAGAAAATGCCCTACCTGTTGATGCTCAATGAAGAGAAGGTTATGGCGAACCCCTTCATAGACGGAGAAGACCAAATGAAAACTAGTATGTGGTACCTAAATAACGGAGCGAGCAACCACATGACCGAAAATCGAGCAAAATTCAAATATCTTGATGAAAAGTTCATTGGAAACGTGAAGTTTTGTGACGGATCAATTGTACCGATCCAAGGCAAATGATCTATCTTGTTCCAGTGTAAGTTTTTGTTTTTTAACTTGGGTTGTTACATCATACACATCTAAATGGAACTTTTGTCTTCAAAACTATCTTAATCTTGGAATCCATGTCATTCATGAAACTAAGGCCTTGTTACTATTAATGTCGATATCACATAGTCTCACCTATTCCCCATAAGACTTAGACTTTACCCAAAGTAACTTGTGTAAGCTTATGAGTGCAAGAACTTACCACTACTCGAATGGCGTATGACCTTTTGTTATCTTAAATAAACCTAGAAAGTATTCCATGATATAACCTTTTTTGTAAGCGGTTAGAAGTTTGTGTACCCCTCATATTCACAGATGATGGATTGGACACATCATTTAATTACTCTCCACTTAACCTACCACTTTGAAGAACTTATACAATCTAGGATTCATTCACTATGGATCAATAGGATTCATTCACTTCAATGACTTAGTACAAAATCCACTATGGATCAATAGGATTCATTCACTTCAATGACTTAGTACAAAATCCACTATGGATCAATAGGATTCATTCACTTCAATGACTTAGTACAAAATCCAAATTTAGAATGAGGCAAACAATCTCATATTCATTTGATAAATATAAGGTAGGAGGCTAATCTTTGATGTTACCTTATTATTCTAGCTCATCATCTCTCCATAATATCATTAAACTTTACTAACCTTCATATATGATCCAACACACTTTTATATTAGGTTATGGAGTCTGCTACTTACTAAATGGTTATACATTAAAGTTATATATGGTAAATAAATGAAAATATATAGTAAACAACTCTATATAGTAAAAGGCTATATCTTGGCCACTTGTAGTTCATTCTCGCCCCTTTTTACAACGGATTCATGGCTTAACCAAATTAAACAAACACAACCAAAAGTGAATGAATTTTGAGGAAAAAGAAATATTAATAATAAGACTTACCCGGATGTTCTCTTCCAACATCGATTTCTACTTCATATTGTTAAAGTCGGATATACATATTACTCTAAAAGAACGATTGAGATACTTGAATATTCAACTGATGATTAAAAAATGAAGCTGACATGTCCCATTCAACTTAGGAAGATTAGTTGGGGTTTGGTGTAATTAAATGAGTGTGTTGCATAAGTATATAATAAGGCCAATAATTATAATTTCCCACACACTTCGCTTCACCTCAAACCTAGCTAACCCTCTTTTCATGCCTTTTACCTCCTTTTTCAAGTTATTCAACTCCAACCCTCCCCTTTTCCACCTAATATCTTTAACCCCTTTGCTTCAAGAGTTTTTATGTTATTTTAATATGTATTTTTTTGGGTTAATCTTTTAAGTCCACCATTTGTACTCAGATTTACATTTTGTTAACCTAATTCAAATTAAGAACATATTACCACTTTTAATTAAGTTTAAATTTTTATTATTAATATTAGGTTCACATTGTTTCTATTTTTATTATATTTCGTCTATTTTTCTATAATATAATATTTATTTTTGTCGATATCAAATATTTAAAGTTTTTTTTTATATATTATATGGATGATCAGATCGGCAAGGACCATGATTGAGAAGAATTGAATTTGGTTAGACAACGAGTGGTTGGTAAATAAATACATATTTAGTGTTTAAAAATAAAATAAAATAAAATATATATTATTATACCTAAACCTGTATTGTTTTGCTTGAACACATCTTAAAAGTCTCCCCTAACGATGTCTCGATTTACTCAATATTTCTTTTCATCATTTGAAGTAATGGTAGGACCCTATCTTGATTATGACGTAAAATCAATTCATGTTTTTTAATTTAATAAACTCCACCGACTATATATTTAAAACTTTATGCATTAAAATAAATTAACCTAAAGTTCAACTATATAGTATAAGAAGGAAATGAAATTTTCTTCTTCTACCATAATCAAAATAAATAAATAAATATATATATAGAAAGGTGACATAATTTAGATTATAATGTAAGATTAGGGGAATGTTGAAATTAAGTATAAGGACAATAAGATCCAAAGTTTGATTATTATAGTAAAAAGGGAAAAGTTGAAATAGAAGATGCTAAAAAGTGAATGGATATCATAATTGGAGGAGGAAGGAAATCAAAACCATTGGTTGGATGATTCTCAACTTCACTTATTTGGAAACTATGGGTCTCTTCTCTCTTCCCATGGTTTTGATTTATTTATATCTTTCTATTAAAAAATTATAAAAAAATAAAAATAAAAATATAAGTAAAATTATCAGTTTAATCGAACCTTTGTTGAATTATGTCCGAGTTAATTGTATATTCAAACTTATTAAAATTTAAGGATATGATAATAAAAAAATTAAGAATTTCATTAAAAAAATATTAAACAATTTTTAAAGTTTAGAGACTAAATGTTGATACATATGGATATAACCATAAACGAAGATATTTGTATTAATTTTATAACTTTCTACAAAGATATGGGGGAAAATATTTTTGAAAAGTATAATAAAAAATATTTAAATTAACGAATAAATATTTTATTTTTTTGATAATTGTTTTTGATTTAGTAATAGTTTCACGTTATATTTTGTTGTTACTTTACTTGGGAAATATCTCAAGAATTTATTAAAAGGCCATTGAAATATTGACATGCAAAAAAGGAATTTAATAGCTCTTATAATGTTTTTCCTTTTTATTTGTATTGATTTAAATTTTATAATTTTTTAAAATATAATGGTTATAGTTGTGATCATTGACATTTTGTTTTTTTTCTTTCAATTGTCAATTTCTTAATCCTAATTAGTTAATTTACATTTTTATTAAACATTTAATTATTAATCAAATTTAAAAAATAAAAAAATTATATATGTGTGTGTGAGATCCCACGTCGGTTGGAGAGGAGAACGAAACACCCTCTATAAGGGTGTGGAACCCTCTCTTTCTAGCAAACGTGTTTTAAAATCCTTGAGGGAAAGCCCAAAAAGAACAATATCTGCTACCGGTGGATTTGGGCAGTTACAAACGGTATCAGAGCCAGACACTGGGTGATGTGCTAGTGAGCAGGCTAAGCTCAAAAATAACAATATCTGCTACCCGTGGACTTGGGCAGTTACAAACGGTATCAAAGCCAGACACTGGGTGATGTGCTAGTGAGCAGGCTAAGCCTCAAAATGGGATAGATATGAGGCAATGTGCTAGCAAGGACACTAGCCCCAAATGGGGTGGATTTGGTGGGGTCCCTCATCGACCGGAGAACCCTCGCCTCCAATAAATCCACGACCATACCTGAAGTCCTACACATCAGCAAACCCTCATACCTCACTTTTAAGAAAGGGAAACACGAAAGGCTGAGAGAAAAGGATGGAAGACAAACGGTTTTGTCTCATCGGACATAAACACTTGTGAAACAGAGATTTTCGATTTAACACACGAACGACGAACAAAACACACAAGAGATTTACACAAGAGACCCAGTAGCTGCAAACCTAGCCCGAAGCCCAAGCTACCAATACAACCCAACCCAACCCTCGCGTGAGGAAAACACCACCCTTGACGTGTCACCTCCTAAGAGTGACTCGCGCACTTAGCACTAACGGCTCGACTTGGCTCTAAAGGCTCAGAAATGGGTTATTTGGCTTGGGTTGCATCGATTCCTACATTTTTTATTAAGGCAATTGAGGTCAATATAGCATCCTACTTCCAAGTTTAAGGTGGTTTAGAAATGTGAGTTATTTACGTAAATAAGATGAATGTTCGAATAGGAAATAACTCCCTGATGATCCTTGGAGCAACTTCAAGGGACGAAATTCAAACGTACTCGAGATTAAGGAGAACACTGGCTAAGGCTAACCAAATAAGTGGTCTTACTATTGGTATAGTTATATTTGATATTTACACGTGCCCCGTGGTTCTGCATGTGTCGTATATATTGATATGTGTGAATTATTTGTGAATCGATATGACTATGAAATGACATGTATATGTTATGATATGTGAATTGTATGATAACACTTATGGTATGATGTGTTTAATGATATGTTTGAGATAGGATACGAGAATGATGCAATAAATGTAATGTAACGATAAGACTAAGATCTGTTCATGAAACGTTATGATTATGAAAGATTGATAAAACGATACAATAATTTTATGTATAAAAAACGCTATGGTTATGATAGATTGATAAAACGATACAATAAGGTTATATACAAAAAAACGTTGTGGTTATGATAGAGTGATAAAATGATACGATAAGGTTATGTATAGAAAAAAAAATGGTTATGATAGATTGATATAGAAAACACTAAGGTTATGATAGATTTATAAAACGATATGATAAGGTTATGTATAGAAAATGTTATGGTTATGATAGATTGATGATACGATACGATAAAGTTATGTATAGAAAACAATATGATTATGGTAGACTGGTGAGACGATATGGTTAGAATAAGTTTAGGAAACAATATGACCAGGATATGTATATGGAATGATATAACTACGAAATGTTTACGAAATGGTCAAGATATGGGAACAATGTATGTATTTATATATATCGTAATATAATATGAGAATGGTATGATATATGTTATGGTATGATAGGTTTGATTAATTGATATAACTATGATAAGATATGTTGAAGGCACGCCGGTGATATGCTATGTGATTGTTATAATTTACTATCTAGGATATAATATGTGCATGATATGGATTGGATTGTATGTCTGAAAACATGTAAATTTTATTATATGATATATGTTGACATGAATGATATGATTGACATGCAAAACTACGAACTAACATGAAATACAACCCTGACATAGCATACAAAATACGATAAATTATATGATACATGATATGAGAAATGACATGATATGACATGAAGGAAGATGCTAGCAGGGTTGTATTGAATGATAATGAAAATTGAAAAATGTTGGGACCTCATGCATTATTGTGCGGATGGATGTTCAGGATATTTGGATGTTACGTGGCCTCGATAGAACTTGGATGGATTGTGTGGCCTTGATAGGCCTTACTCGACCCTTCAACAAAAATATCTTTGACCCTTTTTTCTACTCGTTGCTTTTTTCTTGCTTGCCTCATTCTAGCTTCAATGCCCACTATGTGTAGTGTGTTGGATGATGCATCTTCTTCTTAGTCGCATAATGACACTCTTCTAGGCCCTAGTATGGTCAGATGTGTGTTACTCGAGGCTCGCGTGCTTTGCTTGTTGCAACGTGTGGGTCACAACCTACTCTCTTCATAGTATGGTTGTGACTTTCTCCCCCATTTAAGTGGGTTTGTCAAATGCCTCGATAAAACTCAACTGGATGGATGTTTAGTGTAACAATCACGAATTAAAAAAAAAAAAAAAAAAATCAGTCGCCGTAAAACTCGCGGGTTTTTTGGCGATGCACACCACGACCCACACAACGTGCCCAGA